TCAGTGCTTACTTTTTTGTGAACAGTGCCATTTTCTCCTTGTATGTCTGCACTTTTCCCCTCCAGTGCCAAAATCATATAAGGGCCCAGAAAATTTGGCTCCAGTTTGCCCCCCTTCCTTTGTTCACTTCTCTTGTTCTGCCTCCACACCTGGTCCCCAACTTTAAAGTCTGCTTTGGGAGCACCCAATTTGAGTCTCCGCTGGGTGCGCTCCTGCTGTTTCCTCACATTTTCCTGCATGATATCTCTGATAGAATCAAGTCTCTTAATGTCCTCACAGACAGCTTCCTCAGCCATGATGGCCTCCACACTACTGTCAAACTGTGAACAGAAAAAAGGTGTAGGATATACACAAATTTGAAAACACACTCATACACACACAAAAACACACATACAGACATAGACAGACAGACGGATGGACAGACAGAATTTACTGACCAAGTAATCCTGTGGCACTTCTGAGGGATACCGAGCTCCTCTCCCAAACATTAAAAAATGAGGGGAGTACTTGGTGGTAACCTGGGTTTTGGTTCGAAGCCCAAACATCACTGCATCCAAGTACTCATCCCAGGTTTCCAGTCTTTCCCCAACAAGCTTTCCAAGTGCTCTAAAAACATATAATAGGCATCACTATGGCAAAATAATATACATTTATATTAACAATGTACCTCTTCTGGAGCCAACACCTTATTGTGGTGGAGGGGTTTGCGTGTTCCAATGATCCCAGGAGCTAAGTTGCCTGGGGCTTTATGCCCCTGGTAGGGTCACCCAAGGCAAGCAGGTCCTGGGTGAGGAAGCAGACGAAATGCGGCTCACAAGACCCCTAATGATGAGTAAAAACATTGATCCACGATTTCCCTTGCCGGGACGTGGGTCACTGGGGCCCCCCCCTGGAGCCAGGCCTGGGGGTGGGGCTCGATGGCGAGCGCCTGGTGGCCAGGCCTGTACCGATGGGGCCTGGGTGGGCACAGCCCGAACAAGGCACGTGGGTTCCCCCTCCAATGGGCTCACCACCCATCGGAGGGGCCATAGGGGTCGGGTACAGTGTCAGTTGGGCAGTGGCGAGGACCCACGGGTGAGGAGAGGGGCAGAGCTGTCATCCGATCACCACCTGGTGGTGGGTTGGCTCCTCTGGTGGGGGAGGAAGCCGGTCAGACCT